ACGCTTTATATTTCGTCCACCGCCTAATCTCAAAAACATCTACTCACTTATTCAAGACCATATGAAGAAAAATGTGGAAGAAGAAGTTGTGCATACTGTAACAGCAATAAAATTTGCCAATTGAGGGGCACCGTTTATTTAATAGAATGTCAAGGATGCGGCCAAAAATATGTTGGAGAATCGAAACGGCCTCTTTACAAGCGCTTGGATGAGCATCGAAGAGCGTTACAAAACCCAGCCTCTTATCCAAACAACAGCTTCTCCAAGCACCGCACCAAAAAACATCCATATGGGGAACCCCCCACATTAATCATTAGTGTATTACATCGCTCTATAGAAAACCCGCTGGAGAGGAAACTATTGGAGGCGCTAGAAATAAGAAAATTATCCCCCGAAATAAATAGTAAGGACGAACTACGTGACGCTCTACAACTATTAACTTAACTGCGTGCCCAATGTCACGCAATTTTTCATATCACATGCAATGACCGTCACAGTACGTCCGCTACTATTTAAGAAGGGGTGAGGGTAAGTCATTTCATTTCTCTTCACTCCAAAGGCGCGGCTCCCGTAAGGGCAGCTTTACACTTGGCAGTGGCAAACACATGTGGGTATCAATATGGGCATAAATTCACCAAATTATTACATCTACTATAATCAATGTATTTCAGGCCTGAAGAAGGTGTTAAACACCGAAATATCGCGGAAGATTTCAAAAGGATTCTTTTTCAAATAGCTTTTTGCTCTTTTGAAACTTTTGAGTTTTTGGAATTTTTGAACTTTCTGAACTTTTGGAATTCTTTTGAAATAAAATTTTGGTGCCTCTCTGTGTTATACAATATTTAAGCAGCATTTAGTTCATGCTCTCCATTGATTTCATATGATATTTTTTTGTTCTTTTGAGATACAATCCAACAGGATTAGCGGCTATTGGATGTGACTTCAATGGTGCTTCTCAAATGTTAGCCTATCCTGGTTTCAAGGTTACGATTTGTGTTTCTCAGAGCCTTTTTTACTTCAAAATTCAAACCGATTTGTTAGCAGTGATAAGCGGTTTGCTTCTATCTACACAAATTCCAGGTTGGAAGCGTACAGCTTGTGAGTTTAAACAACATGAGTGAGTGCGCTTCCCTTTCACCGCGTGGTATTGACGCTCATCTGACTGAAATCACTCAATTAGCCCTGAATAACCAAACAACACTTCTAGCCACAGGTTCAACTAAAGGGACCGTTATCAGGTTATTTTTGGTTGCTAATTCATTAGGTTAGATTTTATTATGCAGAATGTTTCCCTAACTTCTTTTCCACTGTTCCTTATGATGACCTAGATTTCTCTTGATGTCTTATTTCTAGACCGTTCATTATAGAATTTTCGATGCCACCTCCCCTACCACTCGTTGCCTTATGGAGCTTCGTCGCGGAGCAGATCCATGTACACTCCACTGTTTGCAGTTCTCTCCGTGCTCACGTTTTCTTGCTGCCTCCAGTGACAAGGCAGGAACTTTGTGTTCTTGATATCTGTCACGTCTGTTCTTTTAACTTTTCTTTTACTCTCATGCTCCCCACATTTCAGGGCACTATCCACATATTCGCTATTAGGGACTCTGATGACGCCAAACGAGGCATATTGCACAAGGTAAGTCGTTGTTTGCCTGGCTGATTACACTCTTCCATTTATGCGATTCTTTTTAAGGTTGGTTTATCCAAAGGAGAAAAACGAAGCGCCGTTCAAATCTCGCTTGAACCACGAGTCCTTGCATGTGGTTTTATTAAAGGTATGGATTCCATTGTTACGATTTCCCTTTCAATCCTTTCGAAATTCAAGCATAAAGTGGCCTTCAGTCAGCATTTTTGAAAGTGAAGTGATTTTACAATATTAAGTTTATGTGGTCGTATCAGGTGCGCAAACTAGCTTCTCATGAGCGCATAGTCTGAGTGCACTTGATTTATCCTATGTTCCCTTCAGTTTACGCTTATAATTTCCGTTCAGGGCGGAAGTGGTGTAGTGGCAAGTGGCACGCTTACCACGCGAGCGGTCCGGGGATCAAATCCTGGGTCGTGAGTCGCCCGGGCCAACCAAGCCTTCCATCCCTCCGGGTCGGTTAATTGGTACCAGACTTGTCTGGGAGGATAAAAACACTGACTTGAACATCGGCTGGCCCCCGCAAGTCATTGTATAGGCATCGCATTCAAACGCCACTACGAATGTACAAATGGAAGTAGAATGCGTGCCGCATCCCAAAAAGGGATTGATCAACGGCAAATGCTTTATCCTTTTTTTTAAAAACTTCCGTTTGCTACATAAAAAACTTGGAGCAGACGTTGTGGTTCTATCTTCATTAGTTCAGTTAACAGATAAGGAACTCGGCAAATTAAAGGCAAACTCCAGATGAAGTCGGTGTATAAGCGCGAGTGAGCACGCTGGGTGGGCCCGCTGTTCTCCACTTTCGTGTGTTGGGTGGGAAGCGGTTAAGAGACGGATGGGTTTGCAGCCCCTTAAATTTATCGCAAACCTAACGCCCATTTATGTGCGCGACGAGCGTTGCAACGCTCTTCTGTAGTTAAGGACAGACTACGAATGTTCCGGCCTCACAGGCCAGGGTCAACCCTGCGTTGCGCAAATTCCAAAATTTTTACGACCCCCTTCCTTTTCGGAGGGTATCGGTACGACCCCCCATATTAACTATTATGTCTTTCACATAATTTAATGCTCATCATTGATGTGTGGGCAGTCACCAACATGGAGAAGTGGTGGACCGTGGTCAATCCGCGCGCTCTGTCTCGCTCAGAGGAGGAAATCGAGGCAACGGAAGGGTCTTGTGACATCTAATCCTTTTGCTCCTCTGCGTCTCCCTCACAAGGCCAGACACCAGACACTTAAGGCCCAAACTTTTGCCACAGGTTAAGTGGCTCACACACCCCCCACCCCCCTGAATTGGCCCCATTCCCCCTGGCTCACGCATTCTTACTTACTACCAGGTTCCCTCCACACCAAAAGGATTAGATGTCATACAACGTGGCGCAACGGAGGGGGAATCGAGGGCAAGATTGAGTATTTATTCCTATTAGAGATGGAAGATATTTTATAATTTTGCACAGCTTAAAACCAGGTGCATCAATCGTTAATCGTAAAAGGATTTCTACTTTCAGAAACCCACCAGGATTTTTTCGATCTCTCAACTTTCCTTACCTTATAATCTGAAAAACTAAACCTTGTAGCAATTACATTGCAATCCAAACCCCTTCCATTCAGAAGGTTATATTTTCTTTCAGAAGCTGTTTCATGAAATCGGACACCAAAATTTTGAAAATATAAATAGTTTTCTTCCTGAGGAGTATTTGAAATGTTGTGGATGTTCAGTATTTCAAAAAATCGTCCCGTTGTTCCGTTTTCTGTGCACACGCGAGTTTTTGACATTCAAACATTCATAACTTTCTTCATAATCAACTTTTTGCAAATGTCTAAGGCTAATTAGAAACTAGAAGATTAGAGCTTTCGAACAAGCACCTGAAAATTTTCCAGCGATCATTTTTTCAAAAAATAGTCCCGTTGTTCCGTTTATGGGTGGTTTGGGGTCCGATTTTTGAGAAGGCGCGAGTTTTCGACATTCAAACGTTAATAACTTTCTTCATACTCAACATTTTGCAGATGTCTAAGGCTAATTAGAAACTAGAGGATTAGAGCTTTCGAATAAGTGCTAAAACTTCTTGAAATAATCACTCGCTCAAAAATAGTCCCGTTGTTCCGTCAATTCCACCTTGATTTTTTTCAAGCCTTTTTCCTGGACCGCGACTATGCAGTCTTTAAAGGCCCATAACTTCCTTTGAAATTAATGTGATGAGAAGCGGTAAAGATTGTTGGAATCCACTCGAAGAGTACTTCATAACAACTGTGAAATTTCCCTGAAATTCCTTCTTCTTGCCTCAATTTTCCTACGGCGTCTCTAGAACTCAATAGACGACCAGACCACGGCCTGAAATTTTCTGACTCAATTCAGCAATTCGCTACACTTTATGTGTCGCTGTAAGTTTTATTGGAAAGGCATCTCAAACGTTCTCTTCAGAAAGTTTGTCTGCTTACGGCCGCTGACAGAGGAGGCGTTTTTATGGAAAACGCCTGCTCGGGTATACGCCGTGCACCTATCTGTGGGCAGAATTCGCACTCGCATTTGAAAGATCTTCTGTTTTCCTGAAGAAGGTGTTAGTATCCTGATTGAGTTGTATTGTGCTGTTATATGGCACTCTTGTTTTTCACTTTCCCATGAACTGCTCTACACTTTGTTCTCCTCGGGATTTCAGGAATGTTTCATCATCGAAGACAGACCATGTTTTTGCACTACACTGTAACAAAGTTTTTGGCTATTGTCTATTGTACTCTTGATCTATGCCGCGGAGCAAAAGCGCCGTCCGGATAGCGTCGATTAAGGATAATAAGCTGATGGTGAGACTTATAGTGCTCTGCGCTTAGAGTTCAATCACGACTCCCATGGAAGCTTCAGGTGTTCTTGTGGGACTCTCCCAGCACAGCGTGGCATAGCTACATGAGATGAGAAGCATTAGAGGTGAAAGTGCATTGCTCCGGACAATTGCACCTTTTCAGCCGTCTTGCAAGCCGTATTGACCTTGTGTCGGTCGGGCTGAATACGGACCCCGTCCGTTGTTTTGCGCTGCGACGAGCGTTGCACGCTTTCTGTAGGGAAGGACACTACAAGTTCCCTCACTGTATCCTTCCTACTATTGTGGCTAATCCCAAAGCTTGCCTTTAACCAATTGTTTTCATACCGAAACCTCGGCCTTATTTGTTGTTGCGTGTTCCATACTTCTACCATGTGTATAGTTTTTATAAATCATATAGTGATAATATTTGTGCGTTTTGCAGCTTCATCGTCTTCGATGCAGTCAGTAGTTGCCATCTGCCAAGATGGATCTTATCACAGGTATTTGTTCTACTAAATTCGAGTTAATGCAGTTGCGGATTAAAGGTTCATTTAGGTTCTCTTTTGGCGCCGATGGCTCCACAAAACGTGAAGGGTTTGATTATGTGATGCAGCTTGGCGATGAGCAGGAATTCTGGACAAAACCTTTTTAGACTTTTGCCGGATTTCTTATACATATTTCTCTTCAAGATTTACCTTTCATTCTTATTTTTCATCCATCTTCACGTGAATCTGTGTTACTTTACTGCTGCCTCTGTGTGATTATCTTCCTACTGCGAGCTCTTCACAACGGTATCACGTTTCCATAGCTGTTTGTCTTCTTGAACTTCACTCATTTTTTCGCGTTTCTTCAGCAAGTTAACTGGGTGCCTTCATTTGTATATTCCCGATGTATATATACTTTGTCTCCCGTTGGTAGGCCGGTTGTTCCTGCAGAGCAAGACGTGGCATCTGCATCAGGGTCCGTGTGCAGCACGTCCGAGCCAGGGTGTCTACAGGATTCTTGGTTTGGGCATGCTTCATACAATCCCTGGGACACTTTGAGGTACATGTGCTACTGATTTTTTCATCGGTGCAATCTCCAAGTGTTACACGTAATGTCGAGTCTAAGGTGCCGTCGCGGGAAACAAAGTAAAATAGCTCGTTTCATGTTGTACAAAAGAATGTAAATACATTGTAATGCATAAATTTGTAGGGTATATGGGCCATAGAGGATTCATCCAACCAACTGGTCCCTCGAAATCTCAACAAGCTCGCAAGGAAAATACTTACTCTCGGGCACCGAATCCGTCTGCACGAAATTATTTTGAAGAGATGGCTCCAGTCAATGGAATAAGAGAACTGTCCGAGGTAACCTTCGTATCATTGCTATGTTTATGAAATTAATCCGCAACGTGTTAAATATGGAAGCAATGTGTTGTTTCAGGAACAGTTGGCAGAGGCTCAAGAACTACGTAATAAATTTCGGGATGAGGTATCGAAGAAGATGGGCGAACTTCTTCTTCGAGGGGTTACGATGCTCGATGCATATTGTCAGACCTGCAGCGTGAGATTTGGAACCATTCTCTAATCGTAGGTTACACTAGTAGAAAGGAGGTCCGTTGATCTTCAGGGTATTTTAATGGAAGACCGTAGTGGAGTGCGCACATGTGTCACCTGTGAACTATTTGCTGAACGCACGTTCACTGGGTGGTTTTTGATTGATTTATGGCTCAATGGCTTGGACACGGCGTTCTAGTGTTATGTATGTTCTCAGAGGGAAATTAATTCTGTAGATCCTGTTGTACTTTGGAGAAAAATTTCGTTTACAGTCATACTTTAATTCTTATTAAGATACGACTGCGGATGGAGTCACACCTGGAAACAGCGGCGCTGTCCGAAGAGCAACCAGCTATGCGAAAACGTGGTGTGTTTTTCTCGTATTTATCTAACCATCAGCGTTTGTAACCGTAACCATCAACTGTTTCTTCTTTTGCAAATTAGAACTGGTTCGTTATCTCCATTTGTGGTGAGGTCCGTGGGTTGTTTGATCAACGGTTGTGATCGGAAAGAACTGACAGAGGTGTTTTGACCGGAAGATTTCTCCCACTCGTTGGATCGAAAGAATCAACACCATCTGCTCCAACCACGTCGGCTACAGGTGAAAGAGTGGGAATGCAGGTTGGTGGCTCTGTACTCGATTCATTATGTGACTTATTTTATTTTATGAATATTATAGACACACCTTGCTGTTTTGATGGGTGCAATAGAGCACTACTCGCTATCGACAGAAAACTTAAATGGGCAAGCGAGAGAATTGATCGAAGTGAAAATCCTTCTGAGATTAGAGAGATGTTTGCTCTGGTTAACGAAGGGTTGAATATCATCAGGCATGCAAAATTTGATCGTTAATATGGCATCAAAAACTCGGTGCGGATTTCTTCGTGTGTTTCTTGTGTCCTAAAACATTCTCAGTGTAAGGCCTGCCACTCGTTTGCTTGTCACAGTTACGTTCTGCAAGAAGCTGCTATGCATGAATTCTCTAATATTGTTATGCTCGAAAATGCCTATTATGTTGACTTGTGATGTGGTCTGTTTTACGTAGCTATTCGAAACAGTAAAGGTAATTTCATATTTTGGTTGTACTAGCAAGTTGCTTTCGCTAGTAATCGGATGCCTCTTTCGTTGGGTCCAACGTAAACTCATCCGCAACGCACCTTATTTTGAAATGTCTCAAGTGTAAAATATTGCGTTTCATATTACCCAACAATGCTCCATCATAGCGCGACGAGATACAGAGTCTGAAAGTCTGGACACACCGCGACCAAATCTGGTGTTTCGTAAAGCGAAAGTCCTTGGTAAAAGCGTAGAAGAACTGCGAAGGTGGGTGCACGATCGAATGATCTACTACGTATGTGTCCTGGACTGCCCATTCCAGTTCCAACGTGCACTGTAGCGAAACTAGCGATGGGTGATGCTGTCGTCGGTGTGCACCGGTAGTGAGGCCTTGTTGGCTGGATGAGGGAACGTTTTCGCTTATATATTAAGGATCGGGTGAGTAATTAATGTTAAATTGTTAGTATCATTCGTATGAAAAAAAAATAATATGATCGACAAAGTTTATAACTGCACTCAGGCTTTGCCTTTCGCATACTTTGCACATCGGTCGTGATAGTACGATAAGAGTGGCAGATGCACGGTGATCGTTAGCGCTTATTTGGAAATATCTCCGGGCTGCGCAGTTAACACTAGTCGTAAGCGCCTATTCTGTTGATGAGACGCTCTACTTCTGCTTGTTGCTTCTGGTATTCTATAGTAAGGCCGAGTTTGAAAGCAACCTTGGAGCGAACGTTCTTTGATCTTTTTTTTTTCGAAGTTTCTCTCGGGTTGTCTTCGCGAAAGCCTCTATGTAACACTTCCAATGTTGTCCGCTACGAATGCTTTAGCGTTCCGTTGTGCCAGTTCCGGTGCAATAGAGTGCAAGTGCCACCAACGTGCACTTTTTCGATACGCAAACTTAACAGCAAAGTTCGCCATGCAGGGGTTCTTACCTCGATTCTAATTAGTGGAATTTTGATTTTTTTACCCTTAGTCAAGAATTATGGAAGTGCGACTGTTCAAGAACTCAATATTGGAAGCCCGTCAAGGATGTGTGAACGCCTTCGAAGTGGGCGTGGTGACCGATCTGCTGCAGCGCGTTCTTGCGCGATTGCATGCAACTGTACCGCTTTCCAAAATTAGTGCTGCCTTCTTTTGGTTGATTTTATTATACTTGCTTAACTCGTTTAATTATCGCATTTCTTTGTTTGTATTGATGTATATGTCTCGGCTAATGTACTTCTGCATTATGCGATTGTGGCCGCATCTCTTGCTGGCACGAGCTAGCAAAAAATGCCGGCGGCGCAAGCCAGTTCGGACAACTCGTCCAACACGCCCTTCCTTCATTTCAAAGGGGGAGAGGAGAAGCTGGAATGTCCCTTGAAAGACATTGATTAAGCGTAAATGAACATTTTGTAGAAGGATGAAATGGGAAAGTTCTCCGAAATATCCGAAGCGACCCCAGACCTTGTCATACAGCTCATTACAATTAGCAGGCATGCGCGACTCAGCGTGTTGTGGTCCGGCACAAGGAATAGAAAGCAGAATTACCCATTTTAATTTCCTCCTCGTCGCGATTACTATGTTTAGCTTGGTTAAAGGCCTTGCTAGCCCTTGTTCTTTTTCCGGATCTCTGGACCGTTTTAGGAACAATATATAGGTTCCATGGCTAACCCTGCCTTTGATACACGCCCTACCAGCTGTTTATCTTATCCTTCCTCAATCCATCAATTCATACCCACTTTTATCCCAGTAGTCTGGGCAGTCTCAAAAACGACTTTAAGTTTCGTGGTGAACCCCGCCCATTTTGCACATGCTCCGCCCACCATCAGCATCTCATCTACCTTCTTCTGGGGCCGTAAGGTATGCTTCCCGAAGGGTTGGGGGACGAAAATCCCTTTAAATTTTCTCTGTCTTCCCAACTGGGATTGTCCTGATAAAGGGCCTACATTTAATATATGTGTGTAGGTTAAAGTAAGAAAATGAAGAAACAGTATCGTTCAAAACAAATAAATTTAAGGGATTTTCGTCCCCAACCATTCGGGGAAGCATACCTTACGGCTCCTGGTAGCTATCCGATTTTCCTCCTCCCTGTGGAGCACCTCGTCGACACGAATTATGTGGATTTGTAGGAAATACTGCCCACTTCTGAGCGCTCACCCACTTCAGGCAGGTCTGAATTCACTTCATCACTCTCACGTCAGTATCTTTCTATAGACCTTCTCCTGACTGAGTTATCATTTTTCTAGTGAGCACAGCCAATTCGGAGAAGGCTCCGCTTGCAGCGGATGGGCCGCTCTAGTTATCGCCTTGCAACATGGCGTCCACCATCAACCATTTTTCCTGTTTCTAGGCTGTCCTGGAAACGAATTATACTTGACCCTCTGCCTCCTCTTATTTCGGAGCTTACCTCGTCTCCTGTAGAGGGGACTTCACTCAGATGTTTTGTTTTTACATTTCGACCCTGCCCCTTCCGAAATTGACCCAGTGCCTCCCAAGATAAATTTTCAGGTAATGCCGTATTTCATGAAACCCAGAGAGAAGCCCTTCATAGTTAGTAGGATGGTCTATACATTTTCAGATCTCGCTCCAAAGACGACGAACGAATCTCGGCAATACTCGATCACGCACGCATTCTTGGTCTACCTGTAAAGCGCCTCACGCACTCGCAACTGGACAAAATAACTGATTTTCAGCTGCATAACGTATGATAGTGCTTCTTCACTGTTTGCCCACCATTAATCGATAGAAAAATTTTTCAGGGTATTTGCCTAGACGCCTCTCCTCTACCTCTGGCTAGAGATGTCAATAATAATGAGCTTACTTCCATTTATCTCGACAACGTTCTTGATCCTGGTAACCTTGGAGCGATTGCTAGGAGTGCACTGTTCTTCGGTTGCAACCAAATCGCATTTGCGGATGGTCGAGGGTAGGTGGTCTGTACAAAAGTTGCTTCCATGCATTTGCTTTGAAGTGTGGCATGCAGTCGACTCAAGAAATAAAAAAAGTGTTCAATACCATATGAGTGGGTATTTTATCCATGCAATGGCTTGCTGGAACTAGGCAATGCGTTAGTAGCCATCTTAAACAAATCATGTGCCGCGAAATATTTTCTTCTCAAAGGCAAAAGTATAGCCGTGTAATCCCTGGGATGCGCTGCGTAGTCCACTTCTATTCGGAATCGTAGTGGCATTTGGATGCGATTTGGTCTTGCGGGGGCCAGTTGATGTACAGATCAGTTTTTTATCCCTTAAGGGCGAGTGCTGATTAATCGATTCCGAAGAGATAGAAGGACTAGTTGTCCTGAGCATGATTGTGCGAAATAAAATAAAATTGAATTCGGAATAAAATTGTTATTGGAAATCCTCCGGCCAGAGCTTGCACAGCTCGTCACCTTCATGTTTTATTGAAAAGTAGTCGATAGTGTGATCCACCTAGCATTGACTATGGTCGACCCTCTCCCTCAGTGGCCAATACGACCCTGTCCTTGTCTAAAGGATCCTCAACGCACGCTTGACCATGGCACAGCTTCTTAGGTTCGAGCCAGTAGCTGCACTTGAGATACAAGATTTCGACCCTGTGAATAAATGAAACAAGAATTGATAGCAAGATAAACCTCAGGAACAGTTTCAATAAGTATTATTTCAGTAGAATCTGCAGTAAAGAAGAAGATCGAAATGCCTTCAACGGCGAACTTTTATCCTGTTTTGATACACTTACAGCATTTTCTTCCCCATTATATTTGTGACCTCGCCATAATGCGCGCGCAGACAACCACGGCGAGTTATTACTGTGTTAAGAAAAATAAGATAAAAAAAGGATAAAGCATTTGCCGTTGATCAATCCCTTTTGGGATGCGGCACGCATTCTACTTCCATTTGTACATTCGTAGTGGCGTTTGAATGCGATGTGGCCTATACAATGACTTGGGGCCAGCCGATGTACAAGTCAGTGTTTTTATCCTCCCAGACAAGTCTGGTACCAATTAACCGACCCCGGAGGGATGGAAGGCTTGGTTGGCCCGGGCGACTCACGACCCAGGATTTGATCCCCGGACCGCTCGCGTGGTAAGCGTGCCACTTGCACTACACCACTTCCGCCCTGTTATGACGAAAAATATGTTCCGGCAAATTTTGTAGCCCCTAGTCGTCATCCGTAACGCTAATAGTTCCTGTCCCGGGTCCCCTTCGAGAAGGCTGCCTCAGCATTTATTAATTTAATCTTAGCGCATACGAACCTTTGTTAGAAATGAAAGTTATGAAATAGGAATGCTCGGAGGGATTTACTCAAGTCATACTAATTGAACAGTACGTTGATCTGTTTTGTCTGCTCATATACTGTTGTTCTGGTTTGCGACTAAAAAAAAATCTGCTTGACAGTCCGTCCCGGATAACGCCAGCTATGTCCAAAGCCTCCTGTGGGGCACTTGAGTCATTTCGAGTCGTCCGCGTTCCCTCTTTCGCATATTTCTATGAGGTGAGCCTTTTTCTACTCCATGTGCCGTTGCGTAGATACTAGAAACCCTAATGTCCTAAACGAATTATTCTCAGCGCCCTTTTGTATATCTTGTACAAATAATTCACATTCATATTTGAACTTTCAATGAGTCAATTCAGACTTTGAAGTCAGCGGGGGCGTGGTTCGTTGGCACCTCAGATGCGGATTCCGCCCCGAGATACGGTAAACCATTAATCGAGCTCAGAGATCTGGAGATACGACCAGAAGAGAAAATCGTGGTTTGTTCTTGGCAAGTTTTTTTAATATAAGCTAAATTTATGGAGAAAGAAAATGCGTATTAATTCCGTCTGTAATGGCTGTGCTCGTCACATTTGAGAACTTGAAGTTTGGAAGAAGCTAATCCTTATAGGCACAACCCAGGCCGAAGTTTTGGGAACAATTCCCTTCGGTCTGGGATAGATCTCCAGACGACAACTTTGTAAAGTAAGCTGCAGTTGCTACAATGACTCTTGTCTGGGGCTCTCTCCGTTCTCTATTTATTTTTCGCTCATTCTCGTCTGCCTTAGAGTTAGTACAAAAGTCCACATACTGAGGTAGTAAGCTTATCACCCGCCCATTATCCAGCAGTATTAAGTCCCAGGGGCGGAAGTGGTGTAGTGACAAGTGGCGCGCTCACCACGCGAGCGGTCCGGGATCAAATCCTGGGTCGTGAGTCGCCCGGGCCAACCAAGCCTTCCATCCCTCCGGGGTCGGTTAATTGGTACCAGACTTGTCTGGGAGGATAAAAACACTGACTTGAACATCGGCTGGCCCCGCAAGTCATTGTATAGGCCACATCGCATTCAAACGCCACTGCGAATGTACAAATGGAAGTAGAATGCGTGCCGCATCCCAAAAAGGGATTGATCAACGGCAAATGCTTTATCCTTTATCCTTTTTATCGTACCGTGCAAAACCACACCAGTTAATCCTTGGCGCATCCTTTATATGTTCTTAGTATTAAAGACAGACATTCATGAAAAAAGCATTAAATGGTGAGTGGTACACAAAAGAAGGAAGAACCATGAGAAACGGCCAGAACCCAGAAAAGGTACCCCTTCCTTGCCCGTTGATTTGAGCATTGATGCGACTCTCATCGCTGTGCCCTCTTCAACACTACGCTCTCTCACCTATCTAATCACTCGCCACGTATAATTCTGCGGCGAGTGATTGGATGGTCGGTGGCTGGAACCTACTACGCCCAATAATGAGCAGCTAGATCCGAGGTCTAACTTTTCGTGACAATTCGGTCCAGTCCGCACCAGCAAGACTCGCGCCCGTTCTCAAACTGGATATACTTCTCTACGACCTTCATTCTTATCTGTGAATCTCTCCTTTAACCCAGACTACTTATGATTTCACTCACTCAACACATATTGCTCGTGAAATCTCGACGCGCATTGAATAGCATATTCCACAAAATCTATTAAAATGGTTTGTCGTTTCATATTACTTGGGTTCAGGGCGATCTAAGGTGCTGCGTCGTCTGAAAAGTCGCAAACAGTTGTGACGACATGCTTTCAATCAGGCCCACAAGAATAAAACGGACAGGAGTTAACTCGGCAATAGTCTCGTAGTGAGGCAAGTCATTGAAAATTAGTGGTGGAGGAGTGGTTAAAACTTCAGATGCTTCTACTAATATCATTACGGATGCCGCATTTCTATAATATCACCTACTGGATAAGTCACCCTTTTTGTACACATGCGTTCCCTTCGTGAGGTGAATGCCACAAGTGGAAGGTCTAAAGCATGTTCAGAAAACAGGAAGATCCAGGGCTGCCAGGGGAAAAAAATCTGCAATAACAAATGAGAAACTTCTCTGCAAAATCAGAGAGCCCGTCCAGCTTCCGTCAACTCGGATCCGTTGTCTTTTTGTGGAATAGTTTCTGAAATGTAGTGGTGATCATCATCCACCGTAGTGATCACTGATCATATTATAAATAAAAAAAAATCAGGGGAACAAGATGGGAGGAGAAAAATAATCAAGTGATGCCCGTTGCAGGGTGCAGGTTAAACGTTGGTGTGATGATTCACTTTCCTGCTCGAGAGAGGGCCCTTCAATAGCCATCACCATCACTCATAGAGGGCATCCTCACCATCATCCTTCACCATCACCTCGGTTTCCACCATCGTGACTGTTTTCAGGAACATTATTTCTGACCCAGATGGTATACTCTACCTCGACTCCATCCAAATTTCCTCCAAAACTGTCTTCAAGTGGGCGTTTGCTGGCGGAAAGGAGGGAGCTGTTCACCCTACGCTTCTTTCCAACCTAATAATTTTACACATTTCTGTACATTCTAAGCATTTTCGTGAAAAATACCAAAAACGATTTCCTCCCACAAATACAAAAACCAACCGCCCCTATGCCTCTATGAACACAGCCCCTACTGAAGTCCTAAATCCAAAAAAAAGTACATATTCTCTTTGACTGGCAGAATAGGATCCCTGTATGAGCCTAATTTTTCTAAACGACCCGCGCTCAGTGCCGTAATATTATACCATCACGATATGAGAGGAACTCACAACTTTGCGCAAGAAAGGTAGGCTCCTACGGTATAGCAATACCGTTTCGCGGCATAAGGTTGCAGGGCGGTACCCTAAAATACAGCCCTTATCTCTTAAGTCCACCTCTTGGCCTTGTATCGCTGGCATGCCTACCTTGGGACTTACAATTAGACTTTAGCTTGGATTTACTATCGAATGTGGCCTATAGAGGTTATCGCAAATAAAAATTTGAACCCTACGATTATAGAGGATTTCAAAGGATGTGTGTCTCACCCTCTCTTTCATTTTTTCATCGAGTCTGAATCCCTAGCTCGCGCAAAGTGCCGTAAACTCGAACTTGGACAGTACTTTAAATGAAAATAAGGGCTTCGGATGCGCTTTTGGCAGTTCTTTTTGCTTTTTGTTGCTTCTCAGTGTTGGCGACATTTCGCTTGAAATGTGCTGATGCTCGGACATTTTTGAAGCCCATCACTCCACATTTCGTTAACCAGTTTTGTTCGTTTCAGGAATTCTGCTCCATCACATTGCACAGCAAGACGGTCACACTAAAGTGAAAACCTATTCATATAGTATATTCTCGTCGTGCAAAAGGCTGTCTCCGCGAAGACGAAAACGAAGACCAAATGGCACATTACAAAGTGAAACAGGCGGAACAGATAATAAAAATAAATATTTAAAACTATGGAAGCGATCACTGGTAGCCTGGAAGTATAACGAAACACGTAGGTAGAAACTGGAAACTGCAATCATGTGCGAGAAATGGCGAGTACTCAGTACAAAAATATATGAATCATTGAATGAGTCGACAGTTGATCAATAAAATACTCTACAAAGAGAACTGGTTCAAAACGGAGGCGTCTTTTTCGAGATAAGCTACGGGTAGGAATGTCGTGGGAAAACCGAAACGAAAGCCAGTGGTTGGTTAGTATCGGCATGAAGGTACAGGGTTCTAGAGAAGGCTAACGTAGTTGGCCGGAAATAGTCCAAAGTCGCCCTTCGGTCCTCGTCCACGCCACCATCCTGGGTCAACCTGCAAGTAAACATTTCAAAAAAAAGGATAATTTCCTGGGAACTGGTCAAACCCTCGTCGACAGGCCACACATCCGATTCGTAATCATCATAGCCATTTCATAGTTTCTTGCGGCACAGAACCTTATTGAGCGTTCCTTCCCCCTAAACAAGCGGCTTCTTCAACTATTGCCCACTTAAATGCAAGGAGCGGAGTTCAATCGCGCAGATTGGTCAAGAACAAGACCCGGGATAAAATGGGTACGCAAGAGCGTTAAAAAGTAGCTGAAGGTTGGAGAGCCGAAAAGAAAAAGAACATCCTCTACACGCCCATAATATGGGCCTTCTCGTTTCAGGCCATACTCCATCTGGAGTAGTGGCAAGTGGAACGAGTATCACAAACGGCTCCTTCAGTTGCTCCACTACCAATAACGAGCCGCAATGCTAGTGTTGCCGCAGCCGTGGCCGCGCACTTCTCGCGGTGCCCGCGTGACAGCCGACAGCGAAAGGCGGGGCTTGCAGAAGGAGAAATGTGGGGACATCCGTCCAGCGCTCATGCCGCACTTGCGTCACTTGGAACGCCATAATGGTACCACAACACCAACCTTGTCCTCCTGCCAACCACGATCGGGGATGGAACAGGTGAGCATGCCCTATCCCGGACCGTGCCTTTAAATAAGGTGCAACGCCACAGCGACTGCACGATTCCCGTCTCGCAACTTACAATACTTAATATTTGACGAGAACTTTGGCTTATTTGAAGAAGAATTCCATTGGAATTTGAAATCGCAAGTAGGGCACGAAATGTTATACGCCCATTCATTCGTTCACCAAACACGATCTCAATAGGGAGCGCAAGTAACACTTTTTCGGAAACTGGCTCTTTTATGGGGGACTGAATCGGTTGCAAAACGTCGTTCCAATACCACCACGCGCAGTCCGGATGTCAATTTTCCTTCGTAACCCTGCCTAGGCAAACAAACACTACATTCCCTGCGAAGTAGGTCACTGAAAGTTGTTCGCAGTGATCGAAACACAGACTTTATATTGGCTGATCCCTGTAAGACGTTATCAGATAAAATCGCATTGAAATGTCGACCTTGGATGGGAACAGTGTGTATGGCGCATCTTACGAGCTGATGACTTCTGTCGCATATGATTACTGCAGTTCATGGTCTAGTCATGGAGTGGAAAGGTTTTTGCTGCGGGCAGCATTTCCATCATTCTTCTCTGAAGTGGGAAATCCCTCACATTTGTGCTCGCTTCAGAACTCATCCGCAGCATTACAGCCGGATTGTAAGCTCTTTACGAATCTACGTCTGATTCTTAGCAATATCCTGGCCCTTCTACCCACTACTGCGGGTAGCCTGATATTTTTCCTGCCTGATTTTCCGACCAAAGCACAGCACTCACCTGGTCAATCTCCGTTATGATGTCGTCAGGATCGAAAGGAAATTTCCGTCCCATCAGCTGAATCGAATCGTATTAATGTGACATTGATAAAAAAATCTGAGAAAACATAGAAATAATCAAATACCAGTGCGTAATCCCACAAATGCTACCAGCTCTTAAAACCATTCGGTCGCATCACAGGCCGGTATTCATATTGCGGATTGTAGGCTTGTATGAATTTTCCGTCTTTTTTCAGATATTTTACTGAGAATGAGCGTCAAAATTACGCTGAAGCTGCAGGTGCATTACTGTGACCTACGCCGCTCCTTATGAACGCACTTGTGGGAGTAATTGAATCTAAAACGCATATAAATATTTTAGAGGGCATCAATAGATTAGAAGAGCCGTGCAACTTATGCTTCAGCCTTACCTCGATGTACTGAGGTCCGAGCTTTACGGTTTGAAGTAGAAGGCAACTCCTTGGAGAGCGCAATAAGATGCGCGCAATTAACGTCTGTTTGTTGCAAATGTGCTACAATGAGAGCAAAGGCATAATTCGTGCTTTAAACGGTTACAAGAAATAGCATACATTATACGAAGTTACGTGGAGGTAAAACCGAATTGCTAGACAATTAAACTCTTAAAGGGTAACTCTCGAAAAACTAGAATAGGGGAGGAGGGGGCTATTTTTCGAGAGGTGTGGTGCGACCAAGAGACACCAGGAGGTAAGCAGGCTAACCATCGCGTTTTGCCAGCTTCAAAATTTTTTACGACCCCCATCCCTCTCCGCAAGGTCTCAGGACAACCTTACCCTTCCCTACCCATAATGAACCATAAAAAGTGATCCGGTTTCAGGTGAACACTCTTGCTCCTTCATGAGCAACTAATTTGTGGTTGCAGTGACTTAGCTCCTTGCTTATAGACAGGAAAAGAAGGAGGCCAAAATTAACAGATCAACACGGCTGCACATCCTCTCCGCAACCCGCTTATAATCTACACGCACACTCACAATTCTCTTTCCCCCCTCTCTTGTGTTGGCCAAAATTATAGACACATTAAAACGTAGGCGTTGCAAGTTATTGCGACCGGGTGTATCAGGAAGAACCAGCGCCCAAGAACTGAATGATGCGTTCAGCTCCCAAGCGTTTGATGAGCCACATCTGCGTCCTTTTAGGCTATTACTCACCGCTAGCACCGGTGCGTTATCGGCATTCGTGCGCGAAGGAGCGCTCAGCCGAAAAACAATGAATTGCTGCTATTATGCAGAGAAGACACTGTAACTGCAACATGACAATTCCTTCATAAGAAAAAAGAAATAATGACGAAGGAGAGAACCAACCGGATGACGAGAATGTCGAGGAAATTGCAGGAAGGGGTGAATCCACTTTTTTGTCGTGGTGTGAGAACGAGCTCGAGGGAGTGGGGCTAGTTTGATCTGAAAACAAAACATCAACGGTGAAACTCATCAATTACACTCGGAACATTACCTTTTTTCTCGAACATCTCCATTCGTTGTGAGTTGAGTTTGCTTGGACTATTCACTACCCTTCTCTGTGGGGGTGTGTGTCGATCCAAATCACTGTCGCCTTGGTATTGCTAAATTTGATGTTCTACAGAATAACGCTCTAACCTACCACATGTAGGACGTTTAAACGACCCTTACCTAAGCAAAGTTTCGTTTGCTTCCGAGCTCTCGTGCTCTAATTAACGATGGAACTACACCCAACATTGCCCATGGCAAATGGTGGGGAAAAAAAGCGAAAACAACCGGGTAAATGCCTTCTAACAATCGATTGAAAATAATATCTTTTCCTAAGGTTCTTTCGTGAAAATATGCATCTGCATGGTTTACGATTCCGTTTGGAAGCCAAATGCGTGCCACCCGACGTGGTGACTACATCACTTATAACTTTCCGTTCCACATTTGAATTGTATCGCTTAAGGGCGAATTCACGCTGAAAAGGCATCCTATTTCAAATTAACTTAGCGATGGGAAGGGCACACTAGAGAGGGAAAAACCGTGAGAAACGGCCCAGAACCTGAGAATGGGACCACTTCCTTGCTCGTATACGCTCTCACCCTATCTAATCACTCGCCACGTATAGACCTGCGGCGAGTGATCAGATGATCGGTGGGCGTGCACTGGCCCACCGCGCCAAGATTGAGCCTTAATAGGTCGCCGAGGTCAACTCCTTCGGTGCCAATTGCGCTTCAGTCCGCACCCTTAGGAGGTCCGCGGGTCCCTCAACTAGGTGAATTACTCCTTCTTCACTTTCATTCTAATCGTGAATTCGTCCTTTACCGAGAAACCCTCATACCTATACAAAACTTGAACAACGATGATCCACTTACACCTGGGTGATGAGGCTGTGGCAGGTAATTTGGCGACTTCTCTACGGATCACGTCCGGCTCGATGTCGATTTCGCTTCTCGCGTAGATCGTCACATGGACCATCTTTAAAAATCGTCGCACGGCGTCAATGTGAGACGTAGCCGAAACGAGTCGCGAAGACGGTACTCCCTCTCCTTGCTGAAATAAGAGCTGCTATTGAGCCGCCGCCGCAAAAATTTGTAAGACCAAAATGTGACGCACCCAGTGCACAAGGACAATTTTAGGGAGAGCGTTTTTCGAGAGACGAACACCAATAACGCCGTATTGCAGTCTTCCCGAATTGAAAACTTGTACGGACTTCCTCGCAGGACCATTGCTCTAAAACAGCTTCGCTGGCTCGTTCAAGAAGAAACACCAGGAAGCGGGATAATGCAAGAAAAAATTAACGGGCGTTTCATTCCTACGATTACTGAAAGCGCAGTACTGCTTGAGCTGCAGGAAAATACCCTGCATGAAAATAGTATCTGATTAGGCGACTAGTGATTCGTCTATAATGAAAGTACCGCTTACTCACCTAATCGACTGCTCGCCTATCGCCTACTCGCTTACTCGCCTGATTGATACTTATCCTTTTCTTGTCGCTTACTCGCCCAATCAATTCGTATACTTTTCATCTTGAATCATCGCCCAATCGCCTAATCGCACGTACGATCGCCAACTATGAACGCTCCATAAGATTTATTTTCAGTTGTATATCGATCTACAGCTCCTCATTTTAGTTGTTTTGTGATCCCGCAAAGAGAGTCAATCAATAGCGATCGGATTAGTCTCCAGCTTCAACAGATCGCGTCGCTAATCGCCAGTCAAGCGATGATTTGGTATAGTTGGGGAAGGGAGGACACTGGATCAACAGATAAATGCAAAATATAATAATGAAAAGTTCCGGAAGCCTCCGTTCATGCGCCATATTTTGAGACATTTGAAGAGCTGTCCTCATATCTCGAAATAGCCCGTAAGTTGGTGGCTGGGAACACCACAGCTTAGTAACAATCCAGAACCCAACGTACCATTCTTCGTTCGATTTGGACGAGATGACTCGATCATACGCGGACTGTAGCGCCGCGCCATGCTTTTGAAAGTTCACTGTCATCGATGACAAAACTGATCCTAATATCGCTCGCTTCTGGATCCACCAATCTCGCCTGCGGGTAAACTTGAAAGAACTCTGCAAAAAAGTGAATTACATGAGACCATCAACGTGACACACTTATTTATTAACGAGCATGCTGAAATGCATTTGAAAAATGACGAAAACGCAATAGCACAACAAGAAACGACACAACGACACAATTTAACGTAAACATGAAATTACTCAGAATAAAAGCAAGAATGATTGTGCAAATACGGCGAGAAAATAGCGATCGAAGTCAATCGAGTCTTTTAGGAATGCGCCTACGCGTTTTACTTCCATTCAAAGTCGCGGGGCGTTCTGAATATGTTGACAGTCCAAACAGCAATACTACATGTAATTACACAGTAATATCAAGCCACAGTACATTCAACAGCAGATGACCTCAAGTTTATAACGCTACACGAGCTGTGAAATGAAAGACGTTACATGCGTCTCCCGATTTTCTTTTGGAAAAAGGGGGACAATAGGTAGGGGAAACAGGAAGCGCTTTAGCAATACGCGTCAAGAAACATCTCAGTAGCATGAGACGCGGTACGATTACAACACCTTTCGGAAGGCATAAGGTTGAGGAGCATAACGGGAATGACTTTGAAATAAGGTGCACGCTGCTGGCTCAAGAGACGGAAATTTCCGCGCGGAAGGCATTAGAAGCATTCTGGATATTCACTAGAAATCCAAGAATGAACAGCTGAGATGAGTGCTCTTCAATAACAAATGACCTTCTACCGTTAATTCCCTAACAGAGTGGTCCCCCGTCAACCGCCGGGACCTTCCTTCCCTGCGTAGAATTTAGGCCTTCCGTTGTGATCCCTTCCACCTGGAGTTGACGCCTCCACGAGGTGTTGGTGCCAGAGGAGACCTCTATTAAATGCAACAAAAAGGAGTTTAGAGGGCATCGCCGTGATTATAGAATGACGGTGAATTTTCCGCCTCTCCTCCCCATCCAGCCTTACTCCCTCCACTGCCCTCCAGCACCATGTGGAATGACCGGAAGTGTGCTCAAGCAGGTGTTTATATAGCCCTAGGAGTGTTATCACAATTATCCTATTACAAAACATTGATAGCTCAAGTCCTGCGAGCTACCCGCTTCTGTTAGCTGTCGTCTAATCCATAGCTGCCTTATAAGCAGCTCTGAAGAGGGATAAAAGGGCCGTTTTAGCTATTTGGGAATCGATAGATAAATTTCCTCGACGCTTTTCTTATTCTGACGCGGGTACCAATTCACCGACCATGTAAAAATGGAAGGTTTCGTTGGCTTACATTCATGGCGACCCTACTAAAATAGGATCAATGTTTCCAGCCACTGCTCCACTTCCTTCTTTTGAAGAGCATCGAGTCGATATTCTAGAGTGGAACGAAGTGATTACAGATTCATACAGAAAGGGAAAAATGGTTAGTTGAGAAAAGGGCAGCGTAAAAGAGGTAACGCGATAACACGCAGTAATTGCCAGAAAGGGTTATGGTCCAACTCTTGCCTAACCTTTCTTCGGAAACTGAGAGCAAATAAACTATATCTTCAGTGATTTAGGCGGGGATTCCATGAAAAACTAGGTTGTCCCATAAGTTCGTGCCACTTTTTGTGCCTCATGCCAGAACTTCATTTAGCGATTTCTGAATATGACCAAGTAGGCTACGAAGAGCCCACTTCGTGTAGTGACCTATACCCGAACCATGCCCGCCTTAGCTGCTTTCTTCGGATTCAAAATCGAAAAAGAAGAGAGCCATGTTTTCCACACTTTGATTTATGAACTTCTACTGAGCCGCAAATCGGTCGAAGCCAGGAGCAGCATTTGTATTGCGATACATCCGCTTGTTCTCGTTCACCATGCAGTATCAGAATGTCAAACCTGCTTCGCTCTGGAGACTGCAGCCTGGAGAAAATCCTGACCCGGAGGGCGATCGGTGGCCGACTTGGACCTGCTGTGCTCTACCATTGAAGGCAACCCGCACGAATTATTTTGCTGTGACACCACCACACTCAGACATTTCAGATACACGGTGGATTGAGGTCTGCCCTCCTTTGGAAAATTGTAGAGGCTTGGACAAAGAAATCCCATGAATTGACCGTAATCACAAGAGTGCAACACGAGTTCTGTCAACATCTTCTATCCTATTCCATCCCTACGCGGTGGCTGAACAACGGCGCTACTGCTGATGAGAAGTGGTTGTTCTATGCTAACGACCTGCGAAGCATCAGTGGCTAGATCAACCAACAAACTATCAAATTCCGTACCCACCACCGGCCTCGCAGTCCATAAGGCTTCCAATCTGTCTTGGATAGAAAGCATTCCGGTGGCGTACTTGGCCCAGCCAGCTCGAGCACTAAATTAATTAGAATGCAACATCACACATACCCAAGAGATTTTTCGCTGTCTCTACTGCCTTCGATGATTCCGCCGCTAGGCGAATCCGTTCAGTTGATTTCTATACTTACCTGTGCGGTAGCAGCCGACGGCAGTGCATAACTACGTATAGGAAAATTATTAACACATTGACGACCGCGCGCGTTTTGGCTTTTTTGGCCGTGTGGGACCGGGCCGATTTTGCGAGTGCGACCGCCGCACCTCGGATCCGTGAATTTTTATTGATAACTTTTTAAAGCACCAGTGGTACAAAAACATCTCAGTAACAGTCAATGCGTAGAAGGTAATAGAGTATATAGTGACGAAGTTCCGATTAAAGAACATGTAATGGTAATGAAAAAGGAAATTTTAGTCATTTTATCTGTAGTGGATGCCAAAAGCTCTTTTGATGTGGTTATACCAAGTGAAACATGTATTTTTCTGTCTCTTTAGATTTGCATTTACTTTCACTACCCTTTTTTATTGACGTGTTCATGAGATAGCATGAAAACTATTAATGAACCAAGCCGCCGGTTTCGGTGAGCTTGGAAAACTTCTTCTAAACTGGAGCATATTTGAACAAACAATGACCTATGTCGTTCACAATAATGTTATGTTCTAATCCATAGAAGAGAGACAAACAATTCGGGAAAAAGCTGCGCATGCCCTAGAAAAAGGGATGATAAGGGTGAGACGCGGTAACGCGTCTCAATGTCCAACGAGGTGCGCAAAGTGAGACGCGTTACCGCGTCTTCGTTTTTCTCTCTTCCCTTTTTTTTTTTTTTTCTTTTGGTATTTTTATATCATTGCTTTCTCAATGTCTTCAATGTGTTAATCCTCTCAAGAAGGCAGAGCAGAAAGCGCGGAAAGATTTTGACACTAATTAGTTGCTTGCCACCGCACACGTCATCGCTCTTCAATTAAAGGCAAAAGTCGGGCTCAGACACGCTAGAGAAGTTATCCCCATGCCTGAAGGTTGTGTGTGGGATAGGCTGCGCCTTGTAGCAACCTCCACCGATTGAAAAACCCGTAAGCTCCGCGCGTTCGATTCAGCGCAGAGCGGCATGTGAATTCCAGACCGGTCCCCTCCGAAGTGGTGCGTGCTGGCATAAGTGTGGCGAAAATCAGCTAGGTTGATTGCCGTATCAGAACTCTGACATCTCCAGAAAACTTGTTTGTACGTGCCTCTTTCCCAAGCCAGCCTCCTTCACTGCTAGTGGGAAAGAGGGTTTTGTTAACGGCCTTGTCGACGGTTTTTCTCAGTTTTTTCTCCACTGTCGTTCCACTTCGCATCTCTATACTCAGTTTCAATCGCCATAATACCCCCTTATTGAGCCCGACTTTTGCCTTTAAGGCTCGTTATAACGCAGTAGGTCGGAAATATCCATGTTCTGATGGATTACTTGGAAATAGTGAGTAAAAACTTTTTTTAACGCATTTTTATCAATCAAGCACAATTGCGTTGTGACGACATGTCTTGGTTCTCATAATTTTGGCCCACGCTGTATAAATCATCGTCTCATCCGGAAGGGCGTTGTTAACATACTTCTGGATCCGACAACCATATTTGAGATTCATTCAATTCCTGTATAGACCTTACATTCTTAGTTAAATTTACTTTTTTTTTCATTGCCTCTGATCGTTTGTGCATAATCACACCCGCCAATGCGCTCACTGGCTTGAAAACTGAGTGACGGGAATTTAAAGTGCGCAGTACGAAATGTGTTCGGACGGCATCATAAGCCATTCGGCTGGCTCGGTAAGCCTCTGCTCATAGTCGTGGTGTCGTTCAGTTGATTTGTGTTCGTACTTTTTCAAAAAGAGGCATCGATCTTGCGAC